CATGGTGTGAAGGAGCCCTTATTGAGTTCAGTACATTCACTGGACACTGTAGTATAGCAATGTTTATTGTCTAACTGACTGCCATCTTTATACATCAGTGTAATCGCTATTTATGAATGTAACTCCCTCACTGTACAAATTATGGAATATGAATAGAGTTCAAATGTATGAAAGTAGATATGTATGTATGTGTATTGATTCTAGACAATTTTACCAAAGGGCTGCGTTAAGAGTCCCTGGCTCAATGAAGGTTTATGACAGCCATTTCCAAGCTGGCTGATTAACAGGCTTGTGCAGAATCCAGCTAAATGTTTATGCATTCCATTCAAACTGATCTGCCTTGTGTCCATGTGTCTTGAAATGGTTGTTTTAGTGTGTGTGGGGGGTGGTTAAAATTTAAAACTGACCTTCTTCATTGCTGACGCCTGATTTTTTGAGAAATGAGAGTGGAACTGTGTTCAGTCCTATTCTCCCCACTATGTTCTTCAGACCTCAGAATTGTCACACACACTCTTACCTTTTTACTAAGCTAAGTGAACATTTATTTGGTGAATGGTGTCATCAAATGAAGTTCATCAAAGAAGCAAATTGAGAGCCCGTATAACAATAAAAGGAGTCTAAAGCTCCAAGACAACACACAATATTATTATGCAATATTTTATATTTACATGTCTAAAAAGATTTTTACAAATTATTTTACAATTTCATTCCTGAACATATTGAATTAAGAAGTTACATACAAAACTGATAAACATTCATACCTCACCCTTATGCTCTCTTCATCGTTGTCAATTAATTAAATTAGAGACCTCAGATGCAGACAAATGTACCCTCTCACAGCATTGATTCTAAGCATCTTCTTTATAATGTTGCACTTGTGGCTCAACCATAAGCAATGATGATCATGTTCATCTCCGGCTTGGCACATGTGAACTTTTGTATTCTCTATGGCTGGGCCTGAGACCTGTGCACATCTGTAGAAGATAACTATGAACCCTGAAAGATGCAGTCACTGCCTGGTTTCTGCATGCTTTTCCAATGAAGAGGTATATTTGTCTGCACTAAGTTCTACTATTATATTTGCAGTGTCTAAAATAAGCTAGTGAAAGGATATTTTTGATTTTTTTTTAAATCATGCAAAATAGGGGGCAACTGATGGTAACAATTAAAGTCTCATCTGTAGTACACTTTCAATCCTTTGATAGGTAGCTAAGCTTTATTTCTGGAACTAGTATTTACCTACCATCCAGGTTACTAAGGCACTATGATTGGATAACTGGATGGTGGCTTAGGTTTGGTAGGTTCTTGATGTGAGATTGTAGCTGTATTAGTGCACTTGCAACACTTGACTACTTGGACCTTGAAAAAGGGGACACGCCCTGAAAACATTTCCTCCAAATTTGGACGTTAGTGCAAATAAAAAGAGTATCACAGACAGGTTTGGTAGATTGAAATTTAGCTGTACAGTCAAAACAGTGTAGACCCTCCACAAGGGGTCACACAGAAAATGTCTTTCTAGCTAAGAAAGATTATAGTAGACACTACAACATTTGTTTTCCTAGACAAACTTTGAGTTTTGCAAGTTTATAAAGGCTGAAAGGTTCATTTCAATTTTCAAAAATGTCAGAGATAAAAGTATGATGTGTCTTAGTAAACCCCTGCCTGAATGGCTAACATTTGCCACAGATGTTACAATGTTCTTGGTAAATGTATCTAAAGGAGGTTATATAGAAATTGTAAAATTGGAATTTTAACCAGTGTGGACAGCTTTATGTGGCTTTGCCACTAGCTTAATTTAAAATTAGCTTGAAAAATATCTTAACAAATCTGCATTGTTCACTGTAGTAATAAAGGTCACTCTGTGCAGATGCTGTACCAATACCAAGATAACCAGGGAGAACTATGTAAACACAGTGCAGTTTTCCCAGATAAAAATATCACATTTATGTTTGCTTGATAATTATTTTTTAGAATTTGCAGCTGGTGCTTATGGCAACATTATGGTTACATTAGTAAATACATTGCTTTTTTAATCTTTTGTACTGCTGGAGAACTTTCAAACAAATAACGTAACAAAGGACATTTTATGCTCCGTTTATCACAACTGTTTTGTCTTTTTTAACTTACAAATGTAGGGTCATTGTTTTAAACAAAGACACTAGCCACACATTGATACAGTCCTATTTATAAACACCAGAGAAAAGGAAATTCTTCACAAAATTGAAAATCTTGCTCATAGTGACCAATAGGATACCTTGTTTTCATTTCCAAGAGAATAAAAGATAAAGCTTGATTGATTAGTCAAAGTGGATAGGATTTCCACTTTTTTGCCATTTTTAATCTGTGCTTATTTTTTGAAAAGTTACAACCAAGAAGGTTGGATATTATCAATGATAGGTGTACCTAACAATATTTTTTCCTGTTAGGTCAGCTTTTTTAAACAGTAATTTCTATAAGTAGATTGACTGTTCTGTTCACGTACAACCTTCCGGTTGAACTAACATGACACTCCAAAGCTCATTTTGTGCTCTCTCTCTCAGTATGATTCAGATGCTAGTATTGTATAATTACTTTGTTGATTAGTGTTCCAAAGTAAATTACTATTATTATTAATATTATTATTATAATAATACAGGATTTATATAGCGCCAACAGTTTGCTCAGTGCTTTACAATATAACTGGAGACAATACAGCAACAGTACAGTTCAATACAAGAGGGATAGGAGGGCCCTGCTCCTTGGAGCTTACAATCTAGGAGGGAGGGGCTAGTTGTACAAAAGGTAGTAACTGTGGGAGATGGACTGGTTGGAAGAGTAGAAGATTCCATTATTAGCTGAGGGCAGGATAGGCTTCCCTGAAGAGATAGGTTTTCAGAGATCGCCTAAAAGTGAGCAGGGTAGGCAATAGTCTGATACGTTGGGGTAGAGAGTTCCAGAGGATGGGGGAAGCTCTGGAGAAGTCCTGGAGACGAGCATGGGAGAAGGAGACAAGGGAGCTAGAGCGCAGGAGGTCTTGCGAGGAGCGGAGAGTACGGTTTGGGTGATATTTAGAGACAAGATCAGTGATGTAATTTGGGGCAGAGTTTATAAATGGCTTTATACGTTATTGTTAATGTTTTGAATTTTATCCATTGGGCAATGGGAAGCCAGTGGAGGGATTGGCAGAGAGGGGTCTTAGGCATGGGTTTTTTAAAAATGCCAAAACCTGCTAAGACCTTCCCAGCTCACTCACTCTTAGATCCCATCTTTAGCCCAGGCTTAAGATCCATCAACCCACGGATTCCAGATTCAACAGCAAACTGGACAAATTTGTCTAGGAACCCTCAGGCCTTCACAGTGGATGTTGTGGTCACTCCATAGGATCAGTTCAACCTGATCTATGCCTTTTCCTCCTCTATAGCTCCTCCTTTGTCTGCTTTGCAGAATCGAGGTGGAGGACATTCCAGTGACCTTCATACCAAACTGACGCAGGAAGTTCTGGTACTCATACTATTGGCAGACTCTTTGTGAGCCCTTTCAGATACTCTAGACCAGGGGTGGGCAAACTTTTTGACTTGAGGGCCGCAATGGGTTCATATATTGGACCCGGGGCCGGACTAGCTGCTGGCCGGCCTAGCCACTACCATGCCATCCATAGTAAGTATAGTAATATTCCCCCATAGTAAGCATAGTAATTAATCCCCCATATAGTAATTCATCCCCCATAGTAATTCATCCCCCATAGTAATTCATCCCCCATATAGTAATTCATCCCCCCTATAGTAATTCATCCCCCCTATAGTAATTCATTCCCCATATTAATTCATCCCCCATATTAATTCATCCCTCATATAGTAGTAGTAAGTAAGTAGCAAGTAGTAAGCCAAGTCCCCCCCTGTGTCAATTTACTTACCTTTGCTCCGCGCGTTCTTCTCGCCGTGTTCCTGCGCCGTTCCGGTCTTCAGGGCGGACTGTGAGAGGAGCCTAGCTCCCCTCACGTTCGTCACGCTGCCCCGCCTACACACATCCTGACAGCCAATCACTGGCTATCAGGATGTGAGTGGCAGCGAGACTGGCCAATCATTGCATTTGAGCGCGCTGCCCTGGCTGTTTTTTTTTTTGTATCACGCTCCGCGGGCCGAATTAAAAGGTCCGCCGGGCCGTATACGGCCCGCGGGCCGTAGTTTGCCCATTGCTGCTCTACACCTTCTATTCCAAGGACCGGTCCACCATTCTCCTTCTCAGGTCACTGGTTTTAATAGAATGCCTCAGGTCCTGAGTGCAGGGACCTATCAGATTTGATCATTCCTAAGCTCATAAAGGCTAGGAAATAATTGTATTGTAAAGTTTAACAATGCACTTGGAAAGGCTGCTTGCTAAGAAATTCCACTCTAGAAAGTGGATGCATCCTTTCCTACCTCCAGTCGGATCTGGATCGGCATCTGGTCTTGAGTAACATCAAGGGGCAAATATCGCCCTGGCCATTTTGTTTTAAAGACAGTTGACCTCGCTTTCATGTCTTAGTCAAGACCTTTGTGCAAAGTGTTGCTCAAACTGCTTTCTGCTTTCCCTGCGTTCCCCTGTGACTCTGTGGGACCTTTACCTAGTTCTCTCAGCTCTTGAATGGTCACCCTCTAAATACAGTATATTTGCAAAATTCCCTTGTTTGACCCTGCTAACAAGGTGGATTTTTTTATTGCTATAACATCTCTGTTGCGAGTCTCTGAGTTAGCAGCCTTGTACCGTAAAAAGCCTTTTCTAGTGTTACACAAGGACATGGTTGTTCTGCAGCCTAAAACCTCTTTTCTTCCTAAGGTGGTTTTCGTACATATATCTTAAGCATTGTCCTACCTCCTTATGTCCTGCTCTGAAACATGTAAATGATTTTCTGTCCACTGTCTTGATGTAATATACACTGTGAGTCTACCTTTGGAGTCACTCTTTGTTCTTTCTAAAGATTGGAGCAGGGGGCTCCATCATTGCTAGGTGGAATAAACAGGTCATCATTCAAGCCTATAGTCTAGAGCAGGCCTTGAAATTTCCACTCGCCTGCTCACCAATGGCGAGTGGAAATTATGGTGGGGACGAGTGTGTCCCTCAGGGCCGTCTTGCTGAGCAGGCTCGGAGCTCTGGCTAGATCTGTCATTGGTACTGGGAGCCGTCAAACTGCTCAATAGCTGAGCGCATTGAAAGTAAAGGAAGGAGTGTGTGCTGTGCTCTCTGCCTCCCCCTAGAGTGCAGTACTCGGCTCTGTGAGTAAACAATGAAGTACTGCAACTTTTTATGGGGGGGGGGTGTTTGTGTGTGTGCCTACCTAATTTCAGCTCACTCTGGTCACATGATCCTCTGTCAGCCAGTGATTGCTTCCAGGGAGAGGAGAGAGCACTTCACAGCATGCATGCGTGTTTGTACATGTGTGTGTGTTTGTGTATGCATGTCAATGTGTCTGTGTATATGTACATGTGTGTATCTGTACATGTGTCTACGTGTATATATATGTATGTGTACATGTGTCTGTGTGTGTGTGTATGTACATGTGTGTGTGTGTTTGTGTGTATGTACGTACATGTGTCTGTGTGTACATGTGCCTGTGTATGTATGTACATATGTCTGTGTATATGTACATGTGTCTGTGCGTGTGTATTTCTGTGTATGTACATGTATCTGTGTGTCTGTACGTGCCTGTGTGTGTATACATTTGTCTGTGCGTGTGTGTGTGTCCATGTGTCTCTGTGCGTGTGTGTACATGTTTCTGTGTGTGTGTGTGTGTACAGGTGTCTCTGTTTGTGTGTGTTTGTTGGTGGCGAGTAACTCTTAAGGCCTGGCTAGTAGCTCAGGACTTGAAATTTTAAGCCCTCTAGAGAATTTAAGACTCTAGAGGATAGGATTCTTCCCTTCCCTGTGAAGATGCATTCTGCCAGATGCTTTATGGGCTTTTCAGCATCAGGTATTTGTTTCTGAGGTTTGCAAGGCTACCCCCTGGACTCTTGTTCAAACGTTTAAGCTTGGGTTCTGTCAAGTCCTTGACCCTTTGTTATATGGGTCTGTTTGTTTGCTGTGTTCCCTTGGTTAAGACTCAAAGCCTGTGCCCTGAACTGTGTGATTAAGAAAATAGGATTTTTGATTTACCTGTAAAATCCTTTTATTGGAACACAGTACAAGACATGGGTTACTCCCCTATGTTCTTTATGATTTCCCTATTAGTTGCTACAAAACTGAGGCTTGCTGGAAGGGGGAGGAGAAATATAGGGGATATCCCTACAGCTTTTTTGCCAGTGTCCAATCACTTGAAGGTAGCTGTGTATAATGTATGGTTAACACTAAGATCCTGTGATCATTATGGATCATGAAGATTTTATTTGAAATGAACATTACTTGCATTTTACTGGTATGCATGCTGTGGAATAAACATTTTCCTACATATACTTATTTTTAGTTGTATTTCTTCAAGTAGCCTAAACAAGTCAAAATAATTTTGCAGATGAACTAATGTTAGACCAAATCGCTTAATGACATTTATAGCTAATGTATTTCTTCAGGAGCAGCTAATGTAAGTTCCTTAACCTCCCTGGCGGTATGATTATTTCAGATTTTTGGTGCTGAAAGCGGTACCATTTTTTTGCATGGAAATATGTATTTTTTTTATTGTAGGCTGTAATTTTTAGGAAAAACTCACTGAAATCTGTCCGAACAAGAGTCTAGTAAACATCCGGGTATGATAAAATTTGAAACACAAAATCATAAATTATAATTTAATAAATCATAAAAATAATATAAAAATAATAAAAAATTTAATTCAATAATATAATCAAACCAAAAACACTGAAATGTGAAATAGAGCGCCAAGTTCGCACATTGCTGAGGAAAGTCGCAAAATCGTTTTCAGTTTCTGATGACGAATTTCCCCCACGAATCATTATCACTCAATTCTGCAAGTGGTTCTGATTTACTATCGCTGTTCTCTAGCTGATCTAAACCGCTTTTGACCTAAAGGGACACTTTTTGGATGCCATTGACATTTCTCAGTTTCCAGGCAGAAAGAACAGACAAAATGCAGGCAGGGCGCAGGACAAAGCACTAGGGACAATATGTATGTGAAATAGGTTGAAACAGCAATGTTTTTACTGTGTAAAATGAAAAAAAAAAAAAAAAAAATGACATTTTTTAAAATTTTTAAATTTCCCGCCGCCGGCGGCGGCGGCGCTCGTACGTCCCGACGTCACAGGGACAGGACACAGAAGCCGGATGCCGGCATCGGCCGGAGGAGATGGCCGGGGACGCTGCAGGGGACACATCGTGGGAGCGCAGGGTAAGGTAAGTGAAGAACACATGCCGGAGCAGCGCCGCATGGTATTCCCGAGTGTAGCTTGGGGTTACCGCTTTTGGTACTGAAATGTTACCCCGAGCTACACTCGGGAATACCGCCAGGGAGGTTAAAGTGGAGTTCCACCTGAAAAAAATAAAAATAAAAGTCAGCAGCTACAAAAACTGTAGCTACTAACTTTTAAAATAGAGTCCCTTACCTGTCTCTCGGTCCAGCGGTGTCCTCACCACCGCTGGTTTCACCAGCTGTCTTCTCTCCCTGGCGCTGGCATCTTCAGTTTGGGCACCCAGCTGTGACAGCTTACAGCTTCACAGCATGGTGCCCACTGTGCATGCGCGAGAAGCGCTGTGCTTTGTGAATGGCCGTAGTCTTCTGGAACCTGTCACGTGTCCAGAAGACTACAGGGAGGGACTTCCCCCCAGAAGACTACAGGGAGGGAGGACAACTTCCCCTTCCGATCGCCTAGGCGATCGCAGTGGAAGTGGGAGCAGGTACCTATCAAATTCCTATACACGCTCCCCAAAGGTGCCAATCCTTTATTTGGAGCGGAAGACAAAGTCATAAAGCGGAACTTCCCCTTTTGGGTGAAGCTCCACTTTTATTTGATTTTATATAAACTGCTTGCAGTCTCCTGTACCTGCCTTTATCCAACGTTTTACCCTGGAGAAACCTCTGAAATTATTTTTAGGTCATATGGAACTATTGCTTAAAATGATAACTATAGTTGATGGTAAATATTCATGAAATTAAATAAATAATAATGACCAGAAATGATGTGAATATTGTAGTGCCCTTCTTCATTAGTGGTCAGTGGAAAATTCCCTCCTAACCATTGTGGCCAGTGAAGGAAAGGCCTCCTTACACTAGTAGTTGTGAAGAAGGGTCCCATTCATTGGTGATCAGTGCCTCTTTACACTGGTCAATCCACTACTTCTTGAGAAGTGAGCAGTTCACTACTGCTCAATACTCAAGGAACTGCTAACAACCCTCTAACAAATTTTGGAGGAACCTTGAGGTTTCACAGAACCTTGTTGAGAAAAGCTGCATTAGACAGTTGCTCTCAAACTAAAAAAAAGAGGGGCAATAATATAATCCAGTCAAGTATGCCACATACAAATGACAAGGAACATGCTTATAAGAGAAGGGAGCAGAATAAGTGAAGGGATGACCTCATCAGTCTGCTAGATGACTGGATAGAGTGAATAGGCAGAAATACTAATAACTTTGCAGACAAAACGGCTCCCTTATGTATTTCATCTGTGCCTTTAGCTGTTTGCCTGGAGTTAAGCTTTAATGCCCTTTGTGTTTTGCTACAAAATATCACAAAAGCAGCAATTGAAAATGATGGTCAGAATCTCAGAGCATCAATTAGAAATTGGCTTACATCTCACTGAACAACCAAGTTTTGAGCTTCTGTGGCTTGGTTCACACTCTGCATCCCATTTAAAAAATTCTATCTTGGCACAGAGGCCACACAGTTGCATACCAAAGCCATACCAAACATCACATTACAATCACTTTACTTGGGCGTTGCTTCTGTTGACCAGAAGGTATCGAAGAAGCTTTGTTACAGTTAGTAAACTTGTAAAAAGATTAAACATATATTAATTAAAATGAGGTTTGCCAACTTAGTCAAGCTTACTCATTGTATTCCTGTATTATGGTGCATGTTAGTCATAGTTCACCAATCCCAGTATTGTGTACACATGCTTCGTTTACCTGAATACAAACTACAAGTAGACTACATAAGCTGACTGCAGGGGCGGACTGACCATTTGGCACTGCCCGAGGGCCCGGGGTCAGTAGGGGGCCCCATGAGATGCCCCTGGTACCTTTTTATAGGTTTTTTTGAGTTTGGGCAAGGACAAAGGGGCCCCATGATCCCCTATTGCCCGGGGACCCCATGAGTTGTCAGTCCCCCCCTGGCTGACTGATAAATTAAGTTATATAATTAGCTTCAGTTGCCTTATAGTTATAGTGCTTTGGCTATGCTTGTGGTTTAAAGGATACATTTACGTTTATTTATATTAAACTCATATTTGGGGTGTAACATGTAATATTACGAAATTAACAGCACCCAAAAATGTTCCTCCCCCCCAAGCCCCGATTGTGACAGCGGTTGGGGGATCTTCTCCGTGCACCCGCTGTCACAATTTAAAAAGAGGGTGCCCGTGCAGGGCTCCGCCCACCCGTGTCATTCAATGGCTGACAGTAGTTGAAGGAACTACAACTACTGTCAACCATTGCTGCTGATGGCTTGTAGTTCTCAATGAACTAAGAGGGGCTGGTGAGCTCTCTAGCAGTTAATTGATTCTTCCTGAAATTCAGTAACTGCCTGCCTGTAAGAGGTACAAAGAAACAGCTACACTAATGGTCTGCAGGAGCCTGACACTGCACCCGCAATCTCCTGATCACAGGTTAAATGCTTTACAAGCTGCTAATCAAAACAACTAATACATGTAAATTTTTTTGTACCTGCAAAAAAAGATGTGTATTTATTATTTTTTTAAAAGGTGAACATAGCCTTTAAGACAAGAAGGATAATTCTACGTTTGTTTGTGTTGAGGAACTCTAGCCATTTTTTAAACATTTAATATAGAATGAAGAGTTAGAGCTTCCTTAAAGTCAGCCATAGATGGATGGAAATCTGGCCAGTTCTGTAAGGACTGGATGAATTTCAATCCATCTATGGGCAAGCTGGTTGTACAGAAGTCGATCTCTTGATTGACTTCTGTACAACCAGCCTGTTGGAATTTATTTTACCCGACTGGTGCTGCCGGCTAAAGCCGGAAACACTACCCATTGTATTCTGTTGGTAGAGAAGGCTCCCTATCAGCAGAACACAATAGCGGGAGCCAGTTTGACATTATGAAAACTGTAAATCCTATTAGTAGACTGAGTTATCTGATTTTACTGCATTGCACAGACAGTGTCAAACTCTACCAACATTCCTTTCAGTTCTTGGTGGCAGTTTGAATTCCCTGGTAGGGGTGATTGGCAGCTCTATAAAAAGGTAATCGTGTAGTATAAAGCTTTTTGCTAGATTTTTATGATTACTAGCAAGAAGCATGAAGATCACTGAGTTGCCACAGACCAATAACCAGGTCTTCAGGCAAAATACAACATTTAGTAATATACAGTATATGTCTAGTGAAAAGCTAGAGTGGCCAAAGTTTGACATTTTTTTTTGGACATACCACTTGAAAGAAAAACTAATGTTTCATAAATTTGGGGTTTTGTAGCAGAAAGTGATCCTTTTTCCTGACAACATCCACCTTGGGCATGTTTTAGAGACCAGTTAGCTACTATCCACAATGCAATTCCATCCATAAGTTA